AATAGTTCATTTTAGGAGGGTTCAGGACACCTACCACTGCAGCTCTGTGGCCTCACAGTTGCTCCTTGCAAGAGACTTTTCTGTAGGACTGCAGTGGGGAATAATGTGCGTGTGTGGTACTGCCAGTCTCTGCTGGAAACCAAGGTGTTGATGTTGGAACAGCCTTGCATTTGCTGCTTGCTGCCTTCTCAGTCCTGAGCTCTTTAGGATGCCCTCAGCCCTTGCTGAGGTGAGCAGCAGAACGTGGGGTTACAAAAGTAAGGAACACGTTCCTTTTAAAAGCAAGGGCTGAGGTTCTCAGCCAATTGTGTGACCTTGGGGGCTGGAGCTTTAAGGAGTGGGGAGAAGAAAAAGAAGCAGACATTTTGGGGCTTGCAGTGGAGTCAGGGGAACTGGTGGTGGAGCACACGGTGCAGTTTGGAGATGCAGACCCATGGGAGTGGGCTCCAGCTGCCATGCCCCTGCTGTCCCAGACAGGCAGGCAGGTGGCCTCTCCTTGCAGCCAGGGCTGCTGTGCTGGGGCTGCTGCCCCGTGGGTTCGCAGGGTACAAGCTTTCCTGTGCACAGCACTTTTCCCAGCGTCCTCTCTAAGCTGTCCTTTGCATCCTCTGGTTTCATGTGAGATGTCAGCTCTTCCTTTGACTTGGTCCCAGGAGGCTCTCGGGGAGCTCAGCAGATGAGACGTGGTTTTTCACCAGCTCACCCTGCTCCCCCCCCGGGGCACTGGGCCAGGTGCTTTGTCCTGCCGGGGTAACAGCACCTTTCACACTGTTTTGTTTCAGGCCAGCAAAGATGCTGCTGTAGATGACTGACAGGTGCCTCATGTGCTATGGCTCTACATGGCCTTTGCAGGCCCGGAACGTGCTAATCTGGGCCCCAAGCAGGAGCAGAGCGTCAGGCTCGAGTCAGGCACTCCTCTGACAGGGAGAGCTCAGCTGCACCAGGCCTGGCACCTTGCTCAGCAGCAGGCGAAACCCATCTGGAATTTAGAGAAGAAGTATGTGAGTGCTTTCCAGGGTCGCAGCCTGCTGCCCTCAGGGATCCCTCTGCAGCAATCCTGCTTCTTGTGCCCGCCGTCACTATGCCACGCGCACCCTGGTGACAACACCCTCCCGAGCCTGCCCTCGGCCCAGCCCTGCCTGGACCTGGGCAGGAGCACTCTGCTCTACCGACGCTCCTGCCTCAGAACCAAGCCCCATGGGTTTCCTTTCCGAAGCCCTCCAGACACCGGCTCTGCCACGGGAAGGGTGATGTCTTCCTTGCTGATGGAGCCTTTGCCTGCGCTGGCGGAGGAGTGCCCTGGGACTGGGGGCAAAGGCTCTGCCCTCAGCTCAGGTCAGCAGGCTTCCAGCTCCTATAGACTCAATAACAGCTCCTCCTTACGGCCAAGCAGTGCTAAAGTGCCTTTGCTGCAGTCACTGGAGATCAAGAAGGTGAAAAACACCCACAGCTTCCCTGCCACCTCGTGTCCCCGCTCCAGGGATGATGGAGACAGCTCCCCTGGCAGCCTGGTCAACGGAGCAGTGAAAAGCAGCACCCTTGTGCTGGAGCAAACTGCAGTCCCCTCCCTGGCCTTTGTGCCCAGCAGTGCAACCCTCAGGAAGGATGGGTGCTTGTGGGAGGATGCTGGGAGGAGAGCGCACAGCCTCAAAGAGAAGGAGCCAGAGATCAGCCTCCCGGAGGCCACGCAGCAGCTGCCCGAACAGGCTGCCACACGCGGT